TTAATACTATAATAAAGAATTATATATACATAAAATATTAAAACTTATATATAAAAAATATATATAAATATTCATTAATTTAAATATTATGTCCGAGTTTATCAATAAACCATACAAATTTTAATATTACAATATGGAAATGGTAAATTTTATTTTATAACTAAATTTTTAAGTTTATATATTTATTTAGATCTATATCGACGAAGAAGAGGAAGCAACAAGTTCTATTGCTTTAACATGGCCAAATTGAGCATATTTTAAAATAATATCTCAAAACAAAGAAAACAATTAATTCTCTGATGGTAAAAGGTTTGCCGTGTCTACCTAAAAATACAAAAATATCCGTCAGTATGACTTCAACGTGCACTATCGTGAAGCACATAAGGGTATAGATATTATATATTAAAAATTCTAATTAAAATTTTAAGAGAAAATATCCAACCTTGTTAACAAAAATAAAAAAGGGGAAGGAAAATAAAATACTAAGGAAAATATTGGCAAGGCTCATCCTCCAATAATATTTTTGCTAAAAGACCTTTGACTTTAACTCAAGGCACTTTAGATGATTTAATTATTGCTTTTATTATAGATGGCATGCAGCCATTATAAAAGAAAACAATTGATACAAAGATTAGCTGGTGAATTATCAAAGTCATCAACTGACTGCAAGCAAATAACCTGCCAAAAAAAACAAATAATTTAATTTCAGATTTTTTTCAGTACCCTACAGCAGATATAATTTCTAATAATGATTTAAATTTTGATAATCAACAAATTTTAAATAACTTTTTCAAAAATAAATGTAGAGATTTTAGCATTTTTAAAGAATACCCTGATATAAAATTGTTATTTATTAAATATAACACTACAATTCCTTCAAGCGCCCCTGTGGAAAGACTATTTAGTGTTGCTAAAAATGTCTTCACAGATAAACGAGGATGCCTAAATGATCAAAATTTTGAAAATATTTTATTACTGAAATCTAATAATTATTTAATCATATATTTTCATATATTATATTAAAATTATAATTTTAGTTATATTCTGATAAATGTTATATCGCGTCAATAAATTTTTAGCTCATTTCATGAATTTTCCCAAAATAATATTAATTAGCATAAAAAAAATGTATCTGTATACAGATACGTTTAAAAATTGTATCTGTATCTTGATAACTTTTTAGACGCTGTATCTGTATCTGTATCTAGATAACTTTTGAGACTATGTATCTGTATCTGTATCTAGATCCATTTAAAAAGTATCTTTTAACAACTCTGATACCCATGATCCACTCATATATCCTTACAGAGATTAATAATCATCATACGTGCATTATACAAAAAAATTGATAGCAATATTAAGATTATATCACAAATCCCCTCCCCCCTCCCCATTTCTTATTTGAAAAAACCTTTTTAGGTATAATGGGTGTCAGTTAATGATTTTTTTAAATATATACTTGGTTTAGCGGAATATTTAAATAGGGCTCGATGCGAGCTAATTGAGACGGTGTGCATTCAATATAGACGAGGATTTGATGTTGGCTAGAGTCTTGTTCATACTAACCAAGGGAATTCAATTTCACCTTAGCGAATTTGTCAATTTCCATAAATATAATTTTATTAGTGAAAGAAAACTTTCCCTACACTCACCTCACCTCGTTCTTCTCTCTTCAAAAAAATGAGCCAATATGTCATTATAAACAGGGCTGTGAACCCTTTATAAAAAAAGGGTTAAGGTTCAGTTAATATCTCTGAATCAGGTTTGGGTTCAAGTGGGTTCAGGGTTTGTTCCCCATAAAATTTTGACTTATAAAATTTAGTAAAAATAACAGAAACATCAGTTTTTTATAAACTTTATTTTACTATATTTAGCCCTTACCATAAAAATTTTATCATTATAATTAGAATATAAGCGAATTATCATGATATCTTACAAAATCAAGATGTTAAAATTAAAATAGTTTAGGCCTAATTTTGCATTGCAACTTACATTTATTAAAGCTATTTTACTTTATGATTATGTTTTTTGTCTTACTTTTAATTTAATAATCCAACAAACAAAAATATTTATTCCAAAAATATATATTATACTATTCAGTGTCTATTTAAAAAAAGTTACAAAATATGCTGGTAAAATTTAAAAATTTTTACAAATTGAGTAATCTAAAATATAATTAAAAGGATTCCACGCAAAATAATTTTCATCAAAAAATGTTTTTATATTGAAAAAAAAAATTATGTTATGTTTTAAATAATATGCATGCTTTTTTATATTTAATTTTAATATATATTTTTAAATAAATAAAAATTTTATATTTTATAAAAAAAACTATTGAACCTTGAACCCTTAATTTTCAAAAAGGGTTCGGGGTTTGGGTTCAGTAAAATATTGAGGGTTCGAAGGGTTATGGTTCTGGGTTTGGGTTCTGGTTCACAGCAAGGGTTGCCAGGTCTTCTCCCGCGAGCGCAGATATCTCACTCCCACAAAACTACCGGAATTGGAAATCTACCGCAAAAATCTACCGCAATTTTTAAATTTCTCTCGCACAATTTTTTTTTTAGTATCTTAACGTTTTTAATATATAAATAATAATTTTGAGAAACAGTAATTGATTGTTTTAATATTTTTATTTTTAAAATTTAAAAAACATGTCTAGTTTGTAAATTTCTTTCTATCCCTCTGCTTTAATCATAATGTTTTATTTTTATCCAATAATAAATATATATATCATTCATTCATATTTTATTATTTTCATGTATGTTTGTGTACAACATTATAGGGCTCAGCGCTTAATTATCACATATCACGTTTAAATACATAATAAGGCTATATTTTACTTATTTCAATGATAATTATTTTATTTATTATGGTTCAAACACATTATTATTATAATCAGTGCAGGGGAGCGTATATACGTCTATTGCAATACAAAAATATGTTCTAAAAATAAAGATAATACAGATGCAGCTACAGTTGCGTATATGATATACGCTTAATGTAGTATGAGATACTTATAATTAAAATGTTGGTCGAATCATTTCCCCATAATATTTAACGACTCCAAGATAAATAAACACTTTACTTGTGGTAGAATAAAAATGAGCAAGGCTATCACCAATGTTTTAGGACCTGAATCCAAGAGAAAATTCTTGAAATCACTTCTCCAAAATCCCAGTTCCAATGGTCAGGCCGAGAGAATGGTTGCAATGGTGAAATCGTTATTTTGTGTTTCTTACCAAAAGAAAAACTAAAAATGTTGGTTCATATTCTAGTCAATAAAATTACGATTTAAAATAATTAAAAACGATTGTAATTTATTAATTAAACAAAAAATTAAGCGTAAGAAGGACATTCATATGCAATTCTAACAGATGCATCTAATAAAAGAAATATTAAATTATTTCCTTAATCTTCCTCTATTTCAACAAAAATAAGGGCGTTTCAATAAAACTATGAAATTTTTTTCCTCAATTAGTGAAAAATCCAAAGACATAGCTAAGGGAGAAAGAAATTGCAAGCTTGTCCAATGAGATCGAGTCTCCACCATCAAGCAGTAACAGCTATTATGGATTAGAAGAGCCGATTATTAATGCTATTACTGAAATATCATAATGGCTTGAAAGAAATATTTCCTCAGAAGCAAGAAAATTATTGGATTCATTACTTATTCCAAATTATTTTTCTCATTAGAATGTATTATTTAATTATACAACTATTTTATGTAATACTTTTCAAAAACATAACATTGACTTGATCAAGAAGATGAGAATAGCCGAGAGCATTTTATTAGAACTCAAGGAAAGAAGAATTTCATATTTAATATGTTATTGTTGAGTCAAAAGCAGAGCTATACGTGTTTGATATTTGTCCCCCTCGATTGCAGCAAGCAAGCTCATCGTCAAAACATCAATATAGGATCAGTAGAAAAGTATTATAAAACAAATGTCCCCTCTCCCAACCTTTTTCATATGGTGATAGAAAAAAAATATAAATATTTGTTAGATTTTTATCATGAAGATGTTAAAATATCTTATGATACCTTATTAGCTGAATAACTATGATTAAAAGATTCCAAAAAATGCTTTGCATTATTTCAAACACATTTTAGATTATACTCCCAATGTATTAAAATGGTTATATATATATTAGCAACTCTACCCATTAGTAAACTAATGAGAGAACATTCTCTTTTTTGAGAAGAATAACAGAGCCATGCAGAGGTACCATTTGCAGGGCACGGTCCAGATTTTTTTTAAAAATTTCAGGCCCGACCCGGCTTTTCAGGCTCGGCCCGAATTTTTTAAAAATAAATTTTATTTATTTTTGATTATAGCTAATTGGCGATTTCAAATATTTGGTTTTAAAATATACAGCTCGGCCCGGATGTTTTTTCTAAAAAAATTTTCAGGCCCAGCCCGGGTGTTTTTTTAAAAAAATTACGGGCCCGGCCCGGGTATATTTAAAAAAATTAAAATAAGGTCCGGCTCGGGTGCCAGGCCTGCAAGTCTGTGAAAAACATACCTATGAAATACAACATCTGAAAGTAGATTGAATGATTTGGATCTTTTGAATATTCAAAGGCATTTAACGCCAAACAAGGATAGATAATTGAAAAATTAGCTCAAAACATACAAAATACAATTATTCCTGAAACTTTTTGATCGAAATCCAGGATCGATCTTTTTTTCTATTTAAATTTCTGAAGGAAATTTCTGACCGATGCAAAATTAACTAATATGTGTTATAAATTTATTGTAATTGAATAATAATATAATATAACCGATGCAAAATTAACTAATATAAAAATAAATTAAATGTGGTAGAAATTTATTGTAATTGAATAATAAATATAACAATTATAATATATTTATTTATAATTAAAATTAGCTTTTAGTAATAAAATTTTTCCTAAATTATCATCATTTAAACATCCGCGTCTTTCATTTAGAACATGTTTAGCTTTACTAAACAAGCGCTCCACAGGAGCGCTTGATGGCAAAGGTGTATTATATTCAATAAAAAATATTCATGGAATCATCATTCGAATAAAAAAATTTTTTAACGGAACAAGCATTTTGTACAGTATTTTTCCCAAAAAAAGCATCAATGTCATTCATACATTCATTTGAGGTATCCGCATATGGTTGTTCCTGCATATTTTCCAAATGGGCAACTAATCTTTCTTTTACCATCATATTTTGTGGCAGATTAATATAAAGCCAATTAAGTTTAAGTTTAGGGTGAATCATGGCTGCCAAAATGTTACTGTCTTCATACAGTGAAGGAAATCTATATTATGAAATGATAATTAATTTATTATTAAATAAGTGTTCGTTTTATTCATATAAATCAAATCAAGTATCTGCAAAACTTAACCCTTTTAAATTTTACAGTCAAGTCTGGCACATTATCTGTATTGTATTTATTTATATTTGGGTCATATCATAAATATTGATTAAATGTAAACCTAATACTTAATATACAAAGAAATTAACATTGTAATTTATTTACAAAGAATATTAATCAAAATATTAGCTTAAAATTTAAATAATCTAATAAATTTTAAATGTCTTCAAAGGCCCATTAATATTTTACTAGATATCAGAGGTTTAGTAGAACTGGCCTGTTAAAAATGTTTTACTAAATTTGCCAGATCTTTGCAATTTTTTAATATATTTGGCAGAATCTGATAATATAAAATAATTGCATAAAAAAATATTACCTTTTATCAATACCTCTAAGAACACTATCTACAAGGGGCTGACAATACCGCAGGCAGCTAAATTTCGTTAATTTATCTATCAATATCGATAGAACGGGAGTTAGATATCCCTGCTCCATATTATCTTCCCGTTCCAAGATTTTTAACGAGATCGCCAAAGGTTCCATAACCTATAAAATTTAAATTTATTTAGAGAATATCATTGTATTACTATTGCATACTCTTTAATAAAATAAACATTGCAAATCCAATTTGATCACATACTTGTTCTACTTCTGAGAACTTTTCAGAAAGCATCTTATCTATTAATTTCAACTATCTTCTTCATTTTCTCCAAAAACTCTAGAAAAAATAAATTTATTTAAATATTTTTTGCTAAATAAATATTACTTAAATGCCTTGACAAAGTTGGTTCCATTGTCAGTCACCATATTCACCACCTTATTATGAATTTTATAGAACTTGTGGATACCCATGATTTCGTTGGCCAAAACATCATATGTTTGCCTCCCAATTATCCTCCTCAGTGCCAAAGCGGCTTACCTTCTCTTGAGGGTTAACGGATCCAGCCAATGTGCAGTAAGTCCAATAAAAGCCCTAATAAAATAAACATTATAAAATTCATATAAATATAATATACCTTCGATGACCACTCCAACAATCAGCCGTGGTGCATACATAAGAAACTTCAGACAAATCTCTTATAAGATTTGTCGTCATATAAGAGAAGGAAGTAGATATCCTGTTGCCCAGTGTTTGACGATAAATAATTTTTGTCGCAGGTGAAAAAGTTTTAATCATTTTTTCAAATGAAGGATCATCAACCAGAGACAGTGGTTGGAAGGTGTAAATAATAAAATCCATGATAACCTTGTCTGCTGTTTTTTGCGATACAGCTGGAATGTTTAGATTGTTAAAATTTAATTTAGATTGTCTGGATTTGCAACCAGAACCACTTTGGTTTTGCAGTGATATATTTTTTTAGTGTAGAGAATTCGTTGAGGTGTTTGGTAATCTCATTTTTAAATTCACTGTGCTTTTTCTTTATAAGAGAAAAAAATAGTATGTATCAAAGTTGGATGAAAATAACTTCTCCTGAATCAAATTTCATTTTTAAAATTTTATATGGTAATTTAAAGTTAAAAAAAAACAATGTACAGGCTGAATGTAAAACCTATATAAACAAAAAAAATGATAAAGGGTTCAACACAAATTTTGTTAAACATATTAAAGTATATTATTTAATTTATATATGGTTAAAAAAGGTTCATATAGGTTATTTTAAATAAGTTTACAATATTGTCTTTGTCTATCATTATTAAAAGTTGCCCAAGATGATATGGGCTAAAGATTTTAATAAAATATTTTCCTATATATGAATATAATTAGCCTTTTTAGCATTTAAGAACTATGGATTAAGGTTTCAACAAATTTTGTTAAACATGTTAAAGTATGTTTTATTAGTGGTTAAAAGGGGGTAGGTTATCTTAAAAATTTAAGTTTACAATATTGTCTATCATTATTAAAAGTTTTCCAAGATGATATGGGCCAAAGATTTTGATAAAGTATTTTCCTATTATGAATATAATGAGGCTTTTTGGCATTTAAGAACTTATGGATTGAGTCAAATGATACAAAAAATACTTTCAATTCAAAATATATTATTAAAAAAAGCCCTAAAATGTTGTCAAGAGGATTATATAATCAAGCTCAAACTGAAACTATAATACTAATTGATTAGATTTAACATATTATAATAAAGAAATAATAGAATAGATATTTATTTTTCTTTTGGTGAAACATTGCTAAGTTCAATACAAATAACATTGAACTGGATGTTTTAATTATATTAAAGAAAGTCAAAATACATTATAAGGCTTAATTATTAGTTATTACACTTCCATTTATTATAAATACTCTTCTTTTGAAAATTAAACTAATATAATAGTAATATTAAAAAATAAATGCCTAATTATTATATATAAATAACAAAACCAAGATTAACTCTTCATCAAATATTTTATTAATTATACTGTATCTAATAATTCATTTTTTTTATAAAGAATCTGTATCTAGATTCTATTTCTGTAGGACCTGCTCAACTCAGGAATGTAATAAATTAAATTTAAACATGTTGACATTAAGATTATCAAATAAAAAAATTTTTAAATAATTACTTGTAAAAGTCTCTTTAAGTTCGAGGATGATATTTTGGAAGATGATATTATCTTCTTACAGATACGGCATTTGGTGCTGATCATATTATAAGAGTTGCTTTCATCCATTTCACATAAAGTAAAATACTTACGTAATTTCAAAAATGGTAAAAGATTCTCATTCTTACTTATATCTGCTGTTACATCAATAGCTGAAGCAATAAATTCTTCTAAATCTATAATGGACATTTACATTTACCTATTAAAATAAATATTAATATATTATTATAAATTTATATTAAATAATTTGTAAGAGCTCTAAATCTCGTAAAATTTAGGAAATGAATAAATATATCTATAAAATAAATGGTGGAATGGAAGTTGATAATGGAAGTTGATAAAATATGAAGATAGATATTTTTTTTAAAAATAATATTTTAATTTAATTTTCAAAATTTTTATTTTATTTATTGCTTTTTAAGTAAAAAATTAATTTTTAAAAAGATCGGGATCAAATTTTAAACAAAATGATCTCCATCTCGATCCTCAATTTAAGTCAGAATCATAAATCTCGTAAAATTGACATTGCAATCGAATCCAGGATCGTCGATCTTTTAACAACTATGCATGGGTTATATTCATAATTCACATTTATTTTATAGTTTTTCAATGCCGGTTTATATATATAATTTTTTTAATTCACATTGTGTATTAGTAAAGTTATTAGTCCTAATAAATTTATGTTTAGTATTTTTAATTAACAATAATATTTCTTTAAAAAATTTATTATCCCCCTTCCCCCTCCCCAGACTAAATTCCTGCGTACGCGCCTGCCATTGTGTGATGAATAATAAGATGTTTAATTTTTAATAATATTTTTAAATAAGTAGATGGCGTTAAAGAATTAAATGCAAATTGTTACTAATATTTATTATCAAAAGCATTTATTAGTATAATTTATTAAAATATCAACTGTAGTAAATTATATAACATACGTCTATAAAAGTGGCATTTTACCTAATATTTTATAACCAATTATATATAATATAGGATTATAAACTATTTGTCTAATTACTTTTTATAAAGAAATCTCTTATACTTATTTGGAACTTGAAAATATTTTTAAGAAGAGACATGGTAATTAAATTTAAAAATTATATTAGTTTTCATTTAATAAAAATTTAGATAGTTTTATTAATTTTTAAATAATAAAATTAAATCTATATATTATGTAATTGAATCAAAAAAAATTATTTTTAGTTCAAGGGGATATTGAGAGCCATTAAAATAAATTTTTTTTTGCTTCAGGGTGCTATTTAAATTTTTCAGGGGGTTCGAGTCCCTGCGCGCCCTACCCTAGTGACACTACTGTCTGATTTTATAACATAATTAAATTAATAAAAAAATATTCCTTAATTTAAACTCTTAAGAATGTTTATTAATGTTATTAACTTTTTAAATCTTAATTATATTTATTAAAAATATTGCATAAATTTTCTAATTATATTAGAAAAAATGCTGGTCTATACTCTTGAAATCTCAATAATTATTAATATTCTTCAGTTTCAAATAATAATTAATTTTAACTCTTAAATTACCCAATTCCCTTATATATAAATCCAAATAATATGTTTATATATCGATAGACTTTAAATAAATTGTATTTTGTTTAAGGATACAAGGTATGGTAATTGTTTGATTATCGTAAATGTACTTTCGATCAATATATAAACATATTATTGAAAGTTAAACTATCTTTTTGATCTTTTCATTTTTGTTAAAATAAAATTATATTTTATTCTTATAAAACCTTTTATATCTTAAACAACACAATATATATATTAAATTTACTCATGTTTGAATCAACTCATGAAGTTTTATTGTAAACTTATAAACCAACAATCGATCAACCTCGCAGTCCTTCGAATCACAATTATTCAAAAATGATAGACATCATATTGACGTTTGACATGTATAATGATATTGTCATAAGATATTATATAATACTAAATATATAATCTACGAATCTACATTTAAACATTACTTCATTGACATATGATATTATATAAAGTTATATATATAATATAAAAATACACAATTACAACATTAAGAACAATTAATATTCCTAAATTTAAACTCTTAGTAATGATTATTAATATTTAGTTTTTATATCTTTATTAAAATATTACATAATATATTTCTAATTACATGTGTACCAATATGAGATTGATATTTATTGCTGAGGCTAGTGGGAGAGACTGAATATAATGTAATATATAAAATTTATTAAATTCGGTAATCTTACGGATGTTACCCTCAATATAATCACTAGTCGGAGATCATAAGCAGATTAATTCCAATATCCTCTTTTTTTTTATCTTTACGAATGATTTTTTTTAATTTAAAATCCTTTCATTTTATTCATCTTTTAATATTCCAAAATTATAATTTCGTAAAAATTCATCAAAAAAATAAGTTATGAAAAATTATATGTTTCTTTTTCAACTATAATCTAAAATATTCATATTCATAGACATTTTCAAATTAAATATATTTATTTGCATACAACAAAATTAATAAAAGTTCATCTATATAAATTTGAATACCACAAAATTAATAATGGCTCATCTATATATATATTTGCATACAACAACATGAATTGTAGAAAAAATGTTGGTCCATACTCCTGAAATCTCAATAATTATTAATATTTTTCAGTTTCAAATAATTATATACATTTATAAATGTTGAATCTTAAGAATAATTAATATTCATAAATTTAAAATGATTATTAATATTAAGTTTTTAAATCTTTATTATATTTATCAAAAGTATTAGATAATGTATTTATAATTATATGAATTTTAGAAAAAAATGTAAATTTTTCTAATTACTTAAATTATAATATTTTGTGGAACCATATTCCTGAAATATCAATAAATATTCATTTTCTTCAGTCACTTATAGCAGATCCTAAAATTAAACAAATCTTAAATAATTTAAGCAAAAGATTTTAAAATTATTTGATCACATCTTCGAGAAAAAAAACCAAAATTCTTTTAAACTTGTTTTATAATTTTCTTTCTTTTCGACGATGATTGACTGAAACAGACTGTTATTCTAACTTCCAACTCCAAACAGTGACTGAAATATAGCTTCTAAATATTTTGGGCAAAATGCACTTTCTTTAATGAATTTTAGATATCTTTCGATATAAGTTATAAAAAGATTTACATGCCAAAGACCAGAAATAGACCACCAGAAGATCACAAAATCAAATTGGCATTTTATTTTTCTTTCATTTTTATATAGATTAATTAATTAATAAAAGTGCAATTTTTAATTTGGCCCAAGCTCAAGTTTAGGAGGTATAGCATTTAAGTCATTATTCTAGCCAATATTCTTTATAAATATTTGATATTAATCAATAATAGTAATATAAGCCAAAAGGTATCAAATATTTTATGTTTAATATTTAAGTTATCTAAAATCTGGAAAAGTTTTTTTTTTGGAGGAGGCTTTGGTTAATTTTATGATAAATTGAATTTCTCTCCTCATAAAAATAACAGTAAAATATAAATCAATTTATGATTATATCTTTATAGTACAAAATTTAATTTTCTAATTGT